TTAAATTTCATGGCTTCCTCAAGCTAGACTCTCTTGGAATGGACTGTCTTTTGTTACTAACCAAAACGCTTGGAAAACAGTTTCAATCAAAACAGCAGACTTCTGGTATCATTTCAGGAGAAAATTGGTTATCACAAACCAAGTGCTTAACACATCATCATCCAGAAGGCTGGGTAAAGCTTTCCAAAGCTGCAGCAACCACGCCCAGGATAGAGAAAAGGGGTTAACTGAACACCACAGACTCAGAGATGGAAAAAAAAATAGAAAGAGAGAAAAAAGAAAGACACTGTTTGAAGCTCCCTTGCCTGGGGTCTTATTCCTTCTGCCTCAGAAGTTATCATATATCCCACATCACAGTGCTTATTTCACTTACTTAGGGAAAGTATCTTCTCTAAGCTGGATACAGAGCATTAGTGACAATCACATTGCACATATGTTCCAGGAGAAGCCAGCCTTGTCCTAGCTAGATTTCTTCCTGTTTTCTAAGGGAAAAAAAGGAAAAAGAAAAACATTTTTTTTTTTGTTACTCCTTCTGTTTCCCATCATGATTTGGATTGCTAACATTTCTATCCCCACTAGCAGTCTCCAGTGGCTCCTGGCTCTTTTCTAAAGGACCAGCAGAGAGCAGAGCCCCTGGGCTCCCATCAACCAGGAAGGAAGCAAATTGCAACCCACAGCCTCTTGGATTCTGACTTCAGACCTTAAAGTCAAGGTGATGTAAGGAGACTTTAGTAAATTCCTCACATCCATGCTTCCTTCTTTCCCCAGGTCCTGTCTGGACCTGCACAGCCAGAGCTGGAAGAGGACAGCAGTGACTAGAGAAGCCACCTCTGGAGGGGTTGTGGATGTTGCAAGCTGCAGAGGGAGCTCAGTGGTGGCAGATATACGTAAAGTAGAACCTGAGCAGTGCTGGTGAGTGAGAATAAGGTTGTCATTCCTAATTGAAGACTTAAGGAAGAACAGGTAAAAGAAGTAGGGTTCAGCATAAGAAAAGAAGGACAGCTATGCTGTGCTTGCTGAAGGACTCACCAGGCAGGATACAGACAGGACAGGCCTCGGTGAGAACCTTGCAATTCACGTCATGCTTTGCCAAAGACTCAATCAATTGAGCATGTGCTAAAGCTTAGTTTGTTTTGTCTTATTTGGAGCTTTGGAAGATATTTCCTATCTCGACTCATTGAACATGCTCCAACCACACACCTGCAACTTCTGGAGTGCATCCTCTCAGCGAGAGGCTGGCTAGCACGTCAGCACTTATGCAGGGCAAATCCTACTGAAAGCACATCAGACCACAGCTTTCACACCAGTTTACTTTTACATGTAGCACATGTAAGCTAACATCTGGCAAGAAAACAACTATGTCCTGATCGAGATGGAGCTCATAGCAACAGATGGTGTTTGATACTGCAGGACCAGAGTGGTTCTACCCCTAACTGAGCATTATTTCTCTTTTGCATTTTTACACCCTCTGGCCACATCTTTTTCAGAGTGGATCTATTGTCACTACGGCTTTGCAGTCTCCTCAAGACCATATACCATGCTCAACGTTGCAGGTCACTGCCTAGCCCCAACATCCAGGTGATTGAGGCACATCAGCACATGAAGCAGGGTGCTGATGCAAACATTATATTGTACATCAGTATAACATGAGGTTAGCAATATCCTGAACCAGAGAGTGCCTCTTCCAGTGCAGGAGGAAACTTTCTCTCCAAGCATACGGTAGCTCTGCCCGCAGGCACACAAGCTGCACCAGTAGTTAGCAATCTAGCAAGCAATATTTGCTGCCTATTTTGGGGTAAAGGATGGAAAAACCAGCACAGAGTAGCCTTCAGTGCCACCTCTTCAAGACAGAGTTTCCTCCTAAAGGGAAAAGCATTCAGAAGAGAAAAACCAGCAATGAAATGAATGTTACTGTGATTCTGGTAGATACAAGATGCGACCAACCACCTCTGCAGCTTTACAGTTACTGTCCGAGTTTATTTTTTTTTTTTTTTGCCAGAGCTTTATTTTGCCAGTAGAAGTGCAGAGAGAGATTGCCACCTTGTGGTCCCTCCTCCTGCAGTGCCATATTTTTTTCCCACTTGTACTAGCCCAGATCAGTGGTTTCCAAAGTGCTGTCCGAGGACTTCTAGGGACAAGGGTACTATGGACAAGAATACTTTCCAAGTACTTAATTAACTAAAAAAAGCAAGCCTGTAATTTACAGTCTTAAGGTCCTATACTGAGTAACTTATCACCAGAAAACCTTTCAGTAATCTAAACCGCAAGTTAATAAATATTATAAAATTAATATGTATGTCACGGGTACTCAGTTTCCAAACAGTAATACAATTCTGCTATGGCAGTGATGCACAAAAAGAGACCATCTTTACAATATTCTCAGCACCAAGAAATCTGCTAGAAATTCAGGCCTGATGACAGCCTGCCATTGCTAAAATTTGTGATGATCTTAGACAATAGTTCCCACAGGGTCCTAATAAGGAAGGAGCAGCTATGTCCTCATCCCCACCACCTTGCAGATAGGAAGGCAGGAGTGGACTGTGCTGGTCCCTGGTCACTCCGGGTACTGCTTAGGGCAGCTTGTGAGATCTGTTCCTCAGGCAGTATAAGTTGGCGTAAGGTCTGCAAAAGTAGATTACCAGTTGGCTCCTCCATAAATCATGCCCAGGTAGAGCACTAGGCAGTACCAGTGGAAGAAAGGAGGAGTTACAAAGTGGAAGATCAGGCAGAGCTTGTGAAGCAGCACAGAGCTCCGGTGAACACCCAGTGAATTTATCCCAGAGAGGATAACACGGCAAGAAGCACAGATCTCCCTGATAGCTTTTCATGCCTGTCTGCCTGCTGACATACTGACACAGAAAGTGACCTATTTTCATGGGTGTAATAATGAGTGAATAATTAGAATTTTTTGAGCGCTTTCTTTTCCTCCATGACGCTTTCTGACTAGCTTCCTGCTTGGCCACTACTGAGCCTGTTACAGTTGTAAGTAACTGACTCTTTTCCAATTCCCCAGCCTCATTTCAAGGTTGTCGTGGATGTTGGTCCAGGGAAGACACAAAAGTTTCAACAGTTCCTAAGTGCATTCTTTAGCATATACTTCTGAAGCTGGCAACATTCCCCCTCAGGTCTAGACATGACAATAAATGTAGTTACAGTGTGGTATATTTGTTTCCTATCAAAACCAAAAATCTAAAGACTATCTGCCCCCATTAAAGGAAACAAAAAACAAACCAACAAACAAAGAAACACTCCCACGGGAAGAAAGTATATGAATTTGAGCTGAAAAGCTGACGAGTTGGGCCTTGGCAGATAACAGAGGGAAGCTGACTGCAAATCCCAGCTCTAGACACTGCTGAGAGAAGTCCTTCAGCAACCCCCGACCGCACAGTGCAAAGAGGGAAGCCCTCGAGCCGCAAACCGTAGCCAGGGTACCCGGTATGACACCGGGAATCAGCGTGGCCGCGGGTGGCCAGGGCAGGGCTCAATGCTCGGGACTGCAGCCCACTCTAGCTCCCAGAGGTGGGGGCTGCCCCGTATCCCCGGGAGTGGGCTCTGGGGCAGGCCCGCCAGCGTCGCACCAGATA